TGTATGATTATTAAAACCCAATTTATTAATGATCTAACTTGGTTAGGTGTGTGACCCAATATGATCGCATAATATTAGTAATGAGTTTTTAGACCCATAAGTTACAAGTGGTTTATAGCAAAACATTATAACCATCTAATATTATACGATTGTCAAACCTTGACATTTTAACTTTCTAGAGTAAGTACAAATGATTTCAGGATATTCCCAACAGGAATAACATAAGATATGTTGAAAAATAAATAAAGAAAGACAAACCACTAAAGTAAGCAAAAAATCTGTAAAACATGACTCATCGTGCACCGGATACCAAATTGGTAAACCGGAATGTCGGGTTCGGTCCAACGCATCAAAAAGATGGTTTTTCTCCACTAAGATTGACACTGATATTCTTATACATTTGAAGCTTTGGGTTACTTGAATCTTAATACAGGTTGAATATTAATACAGGTTTTCAAATGGGAGAAGTAGCAACTGAAGTAGTGGAAATTAGAAAGAGAAGAGAAGAGGGTCTTTATATATATATTAGAATGAAAACAGCTTTGGTTCTGATGTGAATGAATACAAGTCTAGTAAAAATGTATACAAGTCTGGTTTACAAGCTAGGCAAGAGTCTCACCAGACGAACAATTTTAGCCCCTCGACCATTCTCAACCAACAAGTGTTCAGTCCCGCGAGCTTTGCATCAACTCGAACCACTGCAAAACCAAAACAAAACAATACATGTCACATTTCAAGTATATTTTGACATTGTTTTCTTTTTTTCCCCACAAAATGGATAGTGAAAGAAAGTTACCTGTCTCAAGACATCACCAAGTGTTCTAGGTAAGGCTTCGAGATCTCTCAGCACAATGTAGTATGGGAAGGGGAAGGAATCCATATATGACATTTTCTGTAGKRCATTTTTTTCCCCGTGTACAAAGTTCTGTTRAGGGYAAAAAYAAAACAGRTTTTAACGWCATGACAACTAGTTTCAATCTCATATCGAAGCCATAGGTAGGAAGAATGGACATACCAGTAGATCCAGAACAGATTGATTCCCGTTATCAAGAAGTAGATACACCACCATACGCTTTTGCTCGAGAAACTTTCTCACAGATTGTTTCAATATCTCACGCTCATGGAACTTTTGCCATCACCAATTATCAGAACAAATTGTTGAAGTGGGTTGCTCCCGTAAGACTGTCGTCTTGTGCTGGCCAAATTCCCAAGCATTTCATTCATGTTTCTCAGCAAATTGACGACTGGGTTATCTTTAATGAGATTTTCTTGTTTAAATGTTAAACCTGATACCATCTGGCACCACATCAAAGAGAAAAAGAAATGGTTTCCGTAAGAAATCACAAGAGCAAGGAAAATGCAGAGAAAATAAAATCCAGCGCGACAACATGGGATTGAAATTTTTAAGACGACTAACCTTAATACCGGATTCTGTGGTGAAAGACTGACCAAAATCATGCAACATCTTTATGCTTCCTTCCTTTCCAAAACTTGCAACCGCCAAACTTCCCATCTCAAGCTGTGACATAGCTCGGCACACAGTTGCCAGAGCTCTGATTACAAAATCACCACATCCACCTTCCAACATGCTACGCGAATCATCCACAGCAATAACAACCTGGTAATCACGCTTGTTTGGTTTTGTCCTCCTCAACCAAATCTTATCTTTCCTATAGTGGCTTGCTATGTATGGAATAACTTTTTTCATGTTGATCCTTTTACCCGTTCTGTAATCACCACTGAGCTTGCTAGCAAGTGTGGGTTCCAGAATAAGACGCAGCTGCTCAGCCAGCTCCTGAGACAGTTTTGCAGTAAGCAATTCACATCTCCTCCAAAGTATAACTGCATTACTTCTGGCATCGGGATCTTCCTCATTAACCTGATTGTTTTCCGTGTCCTGCTCAGTCACCTCCATCCAGTCCTGATTACAAGCATCTCCCTGCACGAACGTATTGTCAACAGAGACCGTAGAGTCCATCCTGCTGTTACCATCAACAAAATTCTGAATAGGAGAGTTGTCTTGGTGGGTCCTGTCCGTATCTGATTCTTTGACTGGTTCAGAGATGCTATTCCTGATCAACGGTTTGGACTGAACAGCAGGTTTGTTTTCGGGGTTCACATCATCAACATCCATCGAAGAGGCTTCATCTTGATTATCTGCGACTCTTTCTTCCTCAGATTCCCCCTCTCTCATATTTGTGTTCACTTGCTCAGGCAACGCAGGTCCTAGAGCCTGGGAAGTTCCTGGATCAAACTGAGAAACATATCTATATTCACCAGCATCAGGGTCTTCCATCTCGTTTTCAACCTCTTGCTTTTCTCCAAGGTCTGAGGAGACTCTAACTCTTTCTTTCCACTCCTTCAATGCATCACCAACGTTCCTATAAGGATTCACCTTGGTTTGTTGAGATGTAGATGACTGGTTTTGAGGAAATTCCATCTTTCCTATGTTGTCCGTCAATGTCTCACCACTGGTCAAGTTAGTCATTTTGAGGTTCATCTCCGTGTAACTACCCGAAGGCTGATCCATTGAATCCGTGAGTTCATCCGAAACATTAGTAGCTGTCAAATTTTCTTGTGGTGCTGTACTTCCTCTCCCCAACCCATTAGATCCAAGAGGATTTTGTGAACCGGAATCACCTCCAGAAATATTATCATTACAGAAGTTTGGCTTCATTTCTTCTGCCATAGTTTCTGTTAGTTCCGTTTCAGCTTTCTGTTCAAGATCAATTCCAGGATCTTCTTTTCCGGGTGATTCACACACATCTTCCGCCCTATCCTCCATTGTTTCCCCATCAGGGTCTTGCGTTTCTTGATCACTTTCACCTTCTTCAGGATGCTTTTGATCTTCTGGACTAGGTTTTTCCTGCTGATCTACATCTTCCTTTTCGTCAATCTCCATGTTATCATCAATCTGTCCATTGTCCACATCAGGATTTAGTCCAGGTGGATCTGCAAGTCCTTCTTCCTTGTTCTGGATTTTATCTTGTAAATTTTCAGTGTCGCCATCCTGATTCACAATCTCATCGTTCCCTTCTTCCGGTATGTCAGAATTATTGGACTCCTCACGCTCATCAGCAGTATCAACACCATCATCCTTGGCTTTTAGCTCCCTTGAACTTGTGTCCTTGTCGACAACAGATGGTCCAGATTCATTCTTCTCATTCATACCTGCCTCCTCAACTTCATTCTTGTCCCACGGCTTTTCATCAGCTTTTTCAGCATCAGATCCCGCAACTCCAAAAGCAGAGTCCAACTG